TTGATGACTCAAGGTTCATATTAGGAAAAGGGGCTAAATTTACGGAAAGGTATATTTCACAATAAAAATCCAGATAAATTAAAAAGCAAGATTTGTGGGGTGTATTTGTTTTTTATTTTGATTATTTAAAACTATGAGTAAATAAATTTTTTAAAGCTTCTCGACAAATTTTTTGGACGAAATAGTCATTAGAGACTAGAGGTACAAATTAATAAAAAGTTGATGACGAGAATTTAAAGAAAAAAGTCGAGACACAAGTGATAATACGATCAAAGGTTAGACACTTCAACAAAAATTACAGTGTGAATATAATTAGAATCATTTTATCTAAAAACTTAAGTCATTAAACTAGTTCGTGTAACCTAAAATAAGTACTTAATTACTAACGTGGAAACTTAATTAGTTTAAGAAAAAATTCCAACAATTGATATGCTATATTTGTCAAATTACATGGAAAACAATTAGTTGGTTTCTGAATATAAAATTGAAAAAAATTAGGCAAGTTGTTGTCTGTTCATCTACATATGTTAGACAGTTCTCATGTTTTACTGTAGACAGGTATGCACGTTCAAAACAAATACCAAAAAGGGAATACTTTCTGGTATAGGAGTCAACAGATTCAACCTTGCTACATGTACACTTTATGTACATGTTGGTTTACCCGATCCCACCCCCTCCCTCACATGGGAGTCCGGTCCCACGCATTTATTGGATGTGGGACCCAACCCTCATGTGAGGGAGGAGGTGGAGTTAGGTAAATCAAAGTGTACCCCAAAAAGTACAAATAGCATAATTCCAACATATTTAATAAAAGTTGATGAAATGTATTAGAGAAATTTAAGTGGTACCGTAGGTAGTAGAAAGCTCGAGAGCTCACGTGTTACAAGGCGGACAACTTGTCAACATGGACAATAGAAATTTTCACCATTTTGTGGTTGTTTGACAAAAATTTCGATAAAAGTTTTAACATATTTTAATAAAAGTTGATGATATGTGTTATAGAAATTTAAGTGGTAGTGTGGATAGCAGAAATCTCGAGAGCACACGTGTTACAAGGTGGACAGCTTCTCCCTGTTTATTTTATTTATATAAATAGATAAATTTTTAAGAGTTATTCTGCTTCTGGAGGTGGAGGGGTTTTGAGAGCAAGGACTGGATTTGGTTTGAAAAATGATGCAAATACAGGAAGAAAATGACCGATATTTTCCAAAATTTTGAATTTCTCTCACATGAGGAGACGGGACCCATATGAATTAAATATTGTTAAAAACAATGGGACCCACGTGTCGTGTGTATTCTGTTTATTTTCTGTGAAAAATTCCCTGTACCCATAGCATCATTCATTTGGTTTAGGGTCAGCATGGTAATGAATGATCTCCATCTTCAGGCTCTCTCTTATTTCCTTGGGCATCTCGTGCTTCTTTATTTATTATGCCATAAATTCAATCACTTTTATGATAGATCTATTATTTAATTAATATTCAATTAAATTAAATAATAGAATTCGTAGATTTAAATCTTAGTAATTTGTTAGTCACAATGAGTCATGATTGTGTGATATAAATTACATATGACTAATTTTAAATGATTTATGGTCATACGTAGTAACGTGATTCTATATCGTTATTATAGATAAATCATCACATGTGTCATTTCTTACTTATGAAGTAAGTAGTTGATCCCACAAATTAAAGTGTGGTAACACTTAAATGAACATGTGAATATTTTGTTAAAGAACAAAATATTGATAATCCACTAGGGAGATTCCACGTGGATAAATTATCTGAGTATTAATGGTTAATCTCTAATATTCAGTAGTGAAATTGATCCTTCGATTTGGAGTCATCATAGTGCCTTATATGAGGATAACCATACTTTGATGATGTTGGATGTTGTTCTGCCATAGATCACTAATACATCATCGTTCGATTATTTCAAAAATCATATAAAGGTTTTTAATGATCAATAGATAATTCATTGCTCTAAATAGTAAGAGATTATAATCTACATTTCATTCAATTAAGTTGATAACGAAATTTTTGGACAAAGTGTACTCATAAGTCGAAAATGAGTTTTCGAATTATATTGACTTCATAGTGGAATAAAAGATATGATTGATAATTGAGATTGACACATATCCATATCTCGTAATTGATCGGATCATATTGACTAAATGATTATAATTTCACGGTAAACGAACAAATTTGGTTTTGTCA